TATACGTATAAAATTAAAATTTCATCGGTGTTTTTATTCTAGTTCTATGCATTATTGTTTAGTAGATTGTATAAAATAAAAAAAAAGTTGTAAATATCTTAACATTTCATATATAAAAATCCAACTATTTAATTTCAAACAGTTTTTAATCAACAGATCAACAGATTAATGGCTATTAATTCACGTTTTATATATATATATATATATATATATATATATATATGGAAATATGTTTCATATATGTATTTCATGTATGTAACATATATGTATACGAAATGGATTTCAAATATAAAGTCACACGGCGTCTTGCAGATTTTTACATATTATTATAATAGAAAGGCAGATAGTTTTACATTGAACGAAATCATTTTTACAATTTCAATTATATTTACACTTTTTAGAGAAAAGTTTGACAAATACAGGGAAACAGGAATGAAGATTTCATTAGATAACACGTAAGTAACAATAAAAATTAATCGATATGTTGAATATTTACCTGAGAGCTGTATAAATACATATTAAATGCAACATCGTATATCTGACTGATAAAATATTTTTAACGAATCTGAAATATGAGAGTCACAAATTTAATTTAATTTCATTAATACTTAATGCTCACATTTAATGTTTTACCGAAACCATGATATTTCGCTGTATCTTCTTAAAAATCTTTTATTTTTGTCGTATCTTATTTGAAATTATATCATATTTAATAACCAAAAAATATATGAGTTTACTAGAGTTTATAGTATCAAATAGCTAGTAAATCTTTTAAAATACTTGGTTTAAAGTATTTTTTTACAATTATATAACAAATTATAAAACTGCTGCGCAAGTCTAACTAAAGTCAAGAACGTTTTTTTTTGAAGTATAAAAAACGCTTGATTGCTCGTTAAAAATTTTGTAGCCTATATTTGTGTGTATGACTTTCTTTATGATTCATAGGAGCCTAATTTCTTTAGTACACTAAGACCCTTCTCTTCATATTCCTCCCGTGTTATCCATACGGAATCTCGATCTTTCGTTATTTCCGCTAGTACAGCACCACCCATGAAAACCATGTCTTTACGTCGAGGTGAGTCTTCAATTTTTATCTTAAATTTCTATAAAAATATTTATGTAGCATAAACATCTGCAGTTCATATATATATATTATATATATATATATATATATATATATATATGTGCACACACACATACACTCTGAGTATTGTTAATCATATGACATACTTACATTCAATTTAGTGGTATCATTCTTTAATACTCTTTGAAGATAAAGTTGCTTAATTTCTCGTTCAAGCCTCGATGGAAGCCCTGGATACATTGTACTACCTCCGCTCAAAACGATGTGCTTGTACAGCTCGCTTCTGATATCGATATCAGCTGCTTGAATTGTGCTAAATACCAGCTCGGCTATTCCTTGCGCTTCGACATTAATCAAATGAGGCTGAAAAAGCGCTTCTGGTGCTGCAAATCTTTCACCGCCTACTTTGATAACACGACCATCAGGAAGCTGAAAATTATATAAAATAATTTGCACAACTTAAGTTAAATCATTTTAAATATTAATAAAATTATATTAAATGATATTTTACTTACAGTATAGGATTCCACCAATACAGTGGTTTCAAGAGCCAACTTCTCTTCCGTTTCTATATTGTAACCGATGTAACATAGTTTCTCCTTCAACATTCGAACAGTTTCAAAATCAGCCGAATGATTGAAAGCGTAACCGCGCAGTAGCAGCAATTTAATTAGGTACATTGTAATATCGCGTCCGGCTATGTCTAACCGTCTGGTCAAATGTGGCAAAGCATATTCCTCGAACACGGGACAAATGTGCGTAACACCATCACCGGAATCCACAACGACACCGCTGATCAATCCTTGAGCGTATAGTGTCAGTACTGCCTGAATCGCAATGTACGTCCCAGCGAAACCGTACTTCTCAAACATCACCTGAAATAATATCAATTCATTAATATTTCTATTCGTATAACTTTGATTTAACTTTCTTTGGATTGCACAATGTTACCTCTATCATCTTTTCTCTATTCGTGATAGGATTCATTGGTGGCTCGGTTAACAGAATTTTACATTCTTTAGGATTAATATTCATTTTCTCCTTGCCAAAGGTGTAATCCCACACGTGACACATGTCTTCCCAATTTCTGTTAAACATTAATTATATTACGAGATTCATCAAACAAAATATCTGATCTGAGATATAAACATACCTAACAATCCCATTTTGCATTGGATAACTTATCTCTAACATAGAACGAAGTTTACTTGCTTCATCGCCAACCATTAAGTCCTGTGAGATAATAATATGATTATCAAATCTCTGCATGCATCATCAACATATATTATGTTTATTATTCGCGCGATATTACTATTTTATTATTAGTAAGTATATTTGTAGTAAAAATTCTAAATATTTAAATACTAGCTACGTAAATATCCAAAAAGTAACGTATAATAAGTATATAACAAAACTTTTTATTACATGTGATAGAAAGAAAATTGAAGTAATTCCTGGTACATGAAATTTGATATTAAGTTAGATTAGATATCAGATAAATATTTATGAAATCATCCTTTTGTATACTAAGATTAAGAATATATAATTGGTACAGTAAGCATAACATAATATGTTACTTCTGCGAGACTCAGATTATGAAATTTATATCAGAAAAGTATTCTATGTTAAATCAGTTCCCAAATGTGTATACCTAAGCACTTTGGAAAAAGTTTGCCGGATTATATGATACTACTCCCACACCTACAGTCGAAAAAAAATTCTTCTTCATTAAAACACTGACGTAAAGGATGTATATATAGCATCAAAAAAGTACAATAAACTTACAGGCATGTTAAGCACATCCTACGAGAGCAAATGTAAGCACACAAATATATTAGATAATTATAGGAAAAGTATAGCATGTACATAAGTACCAACACAATTGCAGATAAACGACATTATTCTAAAAACATATTAGTAGAGACATATCTTGCTTTATCAAAACAGACATGTCGATAAAAAATTTGTAAGATCTCTCGCAAGAAAAACATTGTATCCAATACAATGAACACATTTATTAAGTACAATATAAAATCATTCACTTAACGATAATATTATAGCTCCAAGAAATTGTTAATAAATTCATTGAATAATTAAATGAATAATGTTCATCTTACATTTCAAATACATATTCCCTTTCGATTAGTAAACATCTTTAGCCTCTCAAACTGTGACTTTTATTTACATCAGTGGAGACAAGCACATAGATTATTTTCAGTCGGACTTAAGCGCTAGGGGGGCAGGGAGAGCACACGATGTAATACTATATAATAGACTTACACGAACGCAATATTCTTGCTGAAAATACAATTGTTCTTATTAATCGTCTAAATACTGATAAACACGCTCAAGCAATTTAAAGCTTAAAATATCATAGACTTTATATACAACTTGAACAATACACAAAAAATTACACCTCTTAGAGCTTTTCGTAAATATATACTTCTCATCTTTCACACAATTCCATAAATTGATTATAGTCGAAATAAAGATTCACTTTACATTTACAAATGTAACTGTTGTATCATTTGCTTTACATACGTTAACTTTTATGATAAATTAAACGATCAAGTATCAATGGATTGATAATAATCAATATCAGTAAATCGAACATCAACTATCAGGGCACTTGTATAGAGATAAAATAAAAATGCAGTTACTGGCCCCGTGTCCTTATATACAAGCTCGTGCGCGAGCCTGAAGCAACAAACGTAAGTACCTACATACCTTGACGTCGATATCGCCTATTTTGTTGACAGCTCTGATTATTGGTCGTCCGACTATAGACGGGAATATGTGGGCCGGGAAGTTTGCGCCGGCATACCCGCACTTGACAAACTGCAATGAAAAACTACATCGGTGCCGGAAATACGTAAGAGTATCCGATCGTTTTGAAGCGCGTGTCTAATTCAGTGCATCCTCTCTTAATTAAGAGATTAAGAACGAGGTCCTTGCGTGAGGTAAATGGGAGACGAGCGGCCTTACCCCGGTACCATTGTCACAGACGATAATTTTCCTTCCTTTGCTGTCCATCTCGATCTCGAAGAGTTACGTATCCCGTATCTCGTATCTCGTCAAAAGAATATTTCTCTATCTGTCACAATCCTTTAGACAGTTCTCATATCGCCAGCTCCATCGAGTGACTAATACCTGCGGATGTTTACAGGGCGTTACCGGTGCATAACACCAAAGCGACAGACGTTACTCTCGACAAGAGTTACCGTTTCGTATCACAGTCAAGAATTTGCGCGAAGGGTAGCGAAATCCAGTGCAAAAAAAAAGAAAGGGAGGGAAAAAAAGGGTAAATAATCGACGTCCTCGGACGTGAATTTACTCAACACGCACGACGAACGGCGGCGGGCGAACGAGCAGATCCGAGCAGATCCGAGTAAACTCAAACCGCAAGCTTCCATCGTTGTGAGAGACAAAAAAAAGACCACCCCGGCTCAAGCGACAAGCGAATCATCGTCAATCATAGTCGAGAACACGAGAACTCCCGAGAGGTAACCAATAGTTAGGCCGCCGTTTCAAGACTCTCAGCTGTGATTGGTTGATGAGCTTGCTGTTCGCCGAGCCAATGGCACGCGAGCTTGCGTTAAAGTCGCATGCGGTCAACTTTAGGTCTATTTCTTATAAATGCGGAATTCTTTCCACATTTGAAATGAGATATATACACACACGCACACGCACACGCACACGCACAATTATAATTAGATAATTATATATAAATATTAGACAAATAGAAGAAAAATTAAAACGTTCAAAAATTCAAAACTAATCTGAAACGTTTGTTTTCTATAGCAAAACTATATTTGTATCTTTAATTTTTCTTCCTTTTCCAACGTCTAATTGTACTCTTAATTTTAGATGCTAGAGATCTATTTTCTGTGGCTAGTGTACACTTTTGAAACTTAAAGTGAGATATGTGTTTGATATTTGTTGAAAGTGAGAAAGAGAGTGCTAGTATAGGAACAGAAAACAGACCATAGAACTGTCAGAAGTTCAATACGGTGCAGCTACAAAAAACTCTCAAATGCTCCGAATTTTTACGATGTGGAGTGCGGAGCGGAGAACGGATTAAGTTAGATTAGGTTAGGTTAGGTTCAAGGCACTTCCACGTGAAACTGACGTGAACGCGTTAGGCATCTACAGGTGGATATATTTTAACAGGTTCAATTTTTTTTAACATAATTCAAATATTTACGAATGTAGAGGATTGGATAATCCCATAAGGATGTAAGGGGAAGGGGAAAATTTCTGTTCATGCGCGTGAAATATTAAACATAATATTGGAGCATTGATTCTAACCATTAATCGCGACGCATAATCTTTTTACATCAATTGGAAGCATAATATATATTGCAAATATATACAATCGTAAATCTTTATTTTAAAAAAATTTCTGATGAGTGATAAAAATCATCTTTTTATACATAAAAGTATCTACGTATCCACAATAAAATATTATAAGTAGTCTCAAAATAAAATCGAATATATATAAGGAATTTGTTTATTTGAGTATTTATCAGCATTTTGATAACTTCATCACAAGTATTAAATACGATCCACATTGTTAGAAATGTTCTTAAATTTCATTAACTTTTAATTAAGTAATGCACTTTTAATTAAGTATTGCAAATTTGAACTTAATTTGACATGACATTACATTAAATTTAATGTATTTCTAATTGAAAAGTATATTTGTGTATATGTAATTTTATTTATTTTATGTATTTTTCATAAAATTGTATTAAAAGTACATTAAATATAATAAATTTAATGTACACGTTCATTACTTTTAATTTTGTTCACAACCACGAGTTTCTTTAATTTAAAGGAAGTTCATGGTTACACTTCTAACAGTGTACATAAAATTTATTGTATTTTTCATGAAAATTTATGAAATTTAATGTACTTTTCATCAAATTATGTTAAAAGTACATTAAATTTCGTAAATTTAAGTAACGTTCATTTAAGTAACTATTGTAACTTAAATCATTCATTACTTTTAATTTCGTTCGTAACCACGAGCTTCATTTATACATAAAGGAAGCTCGTGGTTACATTTCTAACAATGCATATTGCACAGAAGCTTGCTGCAGTATTATTGGAACGTTGCAATGTTGCTACAATGCATACATCTGTACAGGATACAATAAAATTTCTAAATCATGGTTGCAATTTGCTTACTTATGGTAAATTGATAATAAATTTCATTGAAATCGACCGCGTCATAGCATAATTCATTTAAAGGCTGTATGCTCTCGTACGTCAACATATTTACAACGCCTGGAGGTATCCCAGATGATAAAAACAAATTGCAATATTGTATTATATTGCATGAGTTTGCGGTACATATCACGATGACGGAATTGCCGATTATTAAATTCTGTGTCAATTTGCGAAACAGATTTATTTCTTTCTTTTCCATAAGCGTGATGACACCTTTCGGCTTACGGATTCTTACCAACAAGGATCGTCCACTTTGAGGCTGCAATGAATTCTTATACCAGTATGGAAATTTTATCCACTTGAATACTATTTGCGACAATTCGGGTTTACTAAAAAAAAGAAAAAAAACAGCAAAAGTAAGATACAGTATGCACAAGAGATACAGTAATTTCATTAGTTTGAGATACCTAATGTATTCCAATAAAGATGCGAACTTGGATAATATTTGCATTCTGGATTCAATGGACAGTTCACTCCAGATTTTGAATCCTTTTTTAGCTGATGCAAAACATCTGTACATATCATCTCTAGAATAATATAGAAATTGAAAATTTGTTAGAAATCATTATTGAATTTCTTAAATTTAACATTTATCATTGGTTGAAATTAGGCAAGATATATACTTTGTTGCACTCGCTCTTAGTATATTAGTGTTATTATGTAACCAATAAGTATTTTGTACAGGCTTTTGCCATGTACCGTCATAAAACATATAATTATAAATCGGATTTGCGGGCACAGGCCTTTTTTTCGAACATATTGGCTTTATCAAGTTTATTATGTAAGGTTTTTCAGTAACATTGAGCTTACAGAATGGCATCTTGAATAATTCTATATAAGGCATAACTATCATTGTCTCATAGATATCCAGCGTATTTATGAGGACAATATTTCTCTGTTAAAAAGAAAAATCATTAACGTTTGAAAACAATTCGATAATATTGTTGCTATACAATTAAAATATACATACATCTAAGGATGTTGCTAAATTTTTTGCAGCCACAATATCTTCAGACCATATGGATGTTATGTTTATTTCATAAGATGTAGGAGGTGTAAGTAATTCTTGCTTAGATTTAAATATATGAATAAGATAAATAAAATTGTCAAAAGTTTTATACATAAGTGACAAAAAATTGCCTTTTATTGGTTCTGGTACCCATATTTTACTTAAGTTTCGAATGCTTTCTGATATCTTTAAATATTTAATAACTGCATATAAATCCGAATCGGCTAGGAGTATTATTTCAAAGATCTGACCTATATATAAAATTTAAAACAATTTTATTAAAGGCACATACAAAAACATATTTTTAAATTAAATCTTAAATCTGTTTCTCTTACGTGAAAGTAGGTTTTTATACTTCTCATATAGCTTATTATCTGCTAACGAATTTGTGCTAAAATATAAAATAATATCAAACTATTTCGAAAATTATGAGATACATTTTTTAATTCAAAATTCATTCAATTTTTAAAATAAAATATAAAGCAAGAGAAAAATTATATAACAAGATATAATATAGAACAAGAGAAAAATTGTTGATTATATTACAGCTATTTTCGCAATAAAATTTATAAAATAATGTATAAAGACTTTTGAAATGCTCTCTCTATAAAACACAAGATGTGTATAATAATATTTACAATAATTTTAACACAAAAAGAAAATATGAATCGATTAATATATTCAATAAGTATTTGATAATAGAATGAATTTCAATTAGATAATTACATGATGTAAGTTTCCAAAAAATATTGTACGTCATTTCTTGTGCAAAAATTAAAAAGTGTCAGTATTAACGTCCAAACAATTTCTTGTTTAACCTTTTCTAAAAAAAAAAAAAAAAATAACAAAATTAAGAGACAAACACAATCTATTCTTATTTATAAACGAAGTAAAATGTTAAGAAATGAGCATTAATGAAATATTTTTATAATTATAAATATAATATTACCTGTTTTATTACGATTAGATTTATGTATGTTTATTCTGTAATAATTTATATATGTTACAATAGCTTCAGGTATATCTGTGTGATTACAAATAGATTTGAAAAAAGGCATATGGTTCTCTAACATTAATACTGTCTTTTCGAGTCTACAATTGTAAAAAGCAATTAAAGATAATAGGAACAAAGATAGATTTTTACTTTTAGCTGTAATTTTTGTCGTATCGTTCGCGATAAGATTAAATGCCAATTTAATGTTTTTACCTATTCACAAAAGTTTCATGCTTTAATTTTATCTCCTTGCACATAGCATATATTTTTTTTGATGCTTTCTGAAAATGAATGTAAGGAGACATTATAACAAGAGTGTGATCAGATTTTTTTTTCTCATTTTTATCAAGAGTGATAAGATCTTTTTCTTTGGCCAAAAAAATTTCCATTTTCAACGGTAAATTTTTAGCAATCTGTCATATATACGTAGCAGTCTATTAGCAATCTGTTCATATATACGTGAGATCTAAGTACTTACTTTTTTTTTACTCTTCAATTCTTCATAGTCTAGATTAATGTAATATTTTTCTATATCTTGTAAGTCCATGCTCTACAGCAACAAGAAAATCTATTAGAACGATTAAAAAGATGTGTATGTCTTCACGACTGAACTGCGTAGCAATTGTAGCAATAATAGATGAAAACAACCATGCTCGCAGAAGAAAAATATTTTGCTTTCGAAATCGAACATTACATTGACGTCAAAGATCTATTTGTAAATATCGTTCCATTAAATTTTGAAAGAAACATTGCAACAACAACTTTACTAACCTCATCGAGAGATATAAATATTTTTTATCGATGTTTTGCTTCTTGATATCCACGAGCAATACTGTACATAATATATCAATATCAGGATTATGAACTTCGACTCTACCAATTTGATACCTATTTTACGAATATCTTACATTTAGCGTTTAATGCTTAATACTGGCATAATTAAGCGTTCTTAGCATTTTCTGCGATTTTTTTACAAGAAATGTTATCTGAAATCATAAAATACTAAAACGTTTAATTAAAAGAACTGCAAATTAAAAATTGATGTATATATCATATAATATATATTATATATTATTATACGTACATATTATATATATATATATGATTTTTCAATTTAACATTATTTGATATTTAAAAATAGTTAGAATATAACAGAGATTTTGTTCAGCTTTCACAATAAATCTGCTATCATATTCCGTTAGCAAGATTTTGTTATATTTTTACTGGTATTTTGCCGACATAATTTACAGCAGGCACTTTGTAGAATCTATTTTCCACAGACTCAGCTGTCTAAAATAGATTTCTGATTCATCGTTATATACTGTGTTTTTTGTTAGACAATTATTCACAGAAATCTCTGATTATTCTAATAATTATGTCGATTTCCAGCTGTTGCGGTCATCGCCGAAGCATTCACCGAAAGGAACATTTTTTTCATTATTTACAACATATCCTGAGCTTTGTATCTGCGTGTTCCCGTTAATTGGAGAATGGAGATTCCAAATAGTGAAAGAAGGCCGATCGCTTATTTGACTCGCAAGGCACAGATATCTTGCTGCCATCGTTTACACAGGTGCGTGAATCGAGTTGGTGAATAGAATGAATCTTTGATAACGAACATTTAAAAATTTCACGATCTACTGATCGAAGAATTATTCTCAGGGAGAGAGAACGCTTCTTGTTCATTGCGAGCATACGATTTCCTGGAATATTATGCGATGTTCGAATTAAATCTTAAAATTAAATAACTTGAAATATCATTAATAAAAAACTTCTTCTCATTAAATCCCAGAAAATTATTTTTGTAAAGAATTAATCGTTTTTCAATCATTTAAAAGATAATTAGACACTAACCGGTCTTCGAACTTTGATATATTTACGTTCTATAATAGTTTTGTATTTAAATAAAAGAAATTTCGTACTCGGTCTTCATGTCTATTGTTAAAAGCTAAAAAAACTGTTATTTTTACATACGAAAAAAATTATATATACAGCGAATGCAAAATGTATTCGTAGAGAAAATATTTTTTAAAAGAACGTTATTTTTTGAAAATAAATATTATCGAGCGAGAAATGAGTGTTGATTTAACATCGATATGATGATTTCAACACCAATTTCATTCGATTCAAGGTTTAATTGACGATCATTTCTTGCTGGGTAATTAACAATTTATTCATAAAGAATAAAATAGACTGTATGTTTCTTATAAAATTATATATATCAAAAAGATGTGTATTAATTATAGAAAATATATCATCTGAAAAATTAGCGAAAATTAAAAATTGTATTGTTTATATGCTCAAAAAGTATACGTACAGTTGAGAAATTTAGCTTTTAAAATTAAGAATATATGCGAAATTCGTTTGTCAATGTAAGAACAGAATGTATTCATCGTATAAAATTGTTAATTAATGTTTATTTTCTACAAATAAGACTTTTTTTATAAAAAATTTCTTTGTACGAATACTTTTTGTTTTCATTGTATGTATAATTATATATATTAAGCTCTTTTTTAGAGAAAAAAAATCAATTCATTGAATTGATCAAAGGAAGATTTTGTTTAAAACATCGTACTGATTTAAAGAATTTATAATTTTAGCCCATTCCTAAGCGAGCACGAGAATGAAGTGATATACGGAAAGTGCAACAATGTTTGGAGTCATGGTCACAATTACAATGGTAATGTGTATTATCAGTTTATCACTTCGTTGTTTACATACTAGGCGAACACAAGATCAATCTTAAATAATATACCTAAAAAAATACCGATCATATTTTTTCATCGAATTAATTTTTTTTCTTTTCCTAGCGGAAGCTTGACATTTAGAAGGTCTAATTTAATTAAAATCGTTTAATACATAAATTTTTAAAACTGTAAGAAAAAGATAACGTTCTTGCTAAGAGGTTGGACATTATTGTTTTTGAATTCTTTCAACTTTTGAACTTTAATGTTAAATTTTTTAATGTATGGGATCTTACGCATGAAATCGGGATAAAATTAATTTAACTTTTAGTGGAAGTAACCGTCCGCGGACCTGTGAATCCGTTAACAGGAATGGTCATGAATTTGGAAGATTTAAAGGACTGCATGCAAAAGGTGTTGATGGATAAGATGGATCACAAAAATATAGACAAACAAGTAGACTACTTCCATAAAACGGTTTCAACGACCGAGAATGTCGCTATATATATTTTCAATGAGTTAAAAAAGCACATGTCCAATCCCGAATTGTTGTATGAAGTAAAAGTCCACGAAACTGACAAAAATGTTATGTGTTTTAGGGGGGAGTACGATGAAAATGTACCTGCTGCTTCTTAATTATTAATTATTATATTATACAGACTTATTCATCTCTCATGTGATTTTTTTATTACGTTTGTATAATACAATTACATAATTTCTATAATATTTAATTACATTAAAACAATCGAAAATAATATATGTAAATTATGCATTATATGGATAATATATAAAATTCAACATTCCAGTTTCATCATAATTTTTTTAAATAAAACAGAGTAGTTGTAGCAGATAATTGTAATTACACTCTACAATATCGCAAAAAATTAAATCCTTTACCGTAATATGTTTCTTTTAATGCACACACATATGTAGTCTTATATCTAAGATGGTCGTTAGAATTTTGAGATTCTATTCTAATTAGAATTTAATTAATAGGACACTATTAATTAATATGTATCTATGTTACATCTTTACATGTTTCCGGTACTTGAAAATATAAAATACACACGCATGTGTATTCTTAGTGATGATTTGTGTATTATAGCACATTTATAAAATAGTCCTTTGTAAAAAAGTTAACAAGAGTACATATCACAATATAATCATTCCATAAATAATTTCTAATTCGCTAATGTATATATGTAATAAATATCTGCGATTTTATAATCTCTTCGCATAAGGAATTAATCATTTTTATATACGCTACTTTTAATTATGTACAGAATTACTTATTACATCGTTTATAATGTAACAAAAAATATTCGTTATAAAACAATTCCAGATTTTTATAGGAAACACTTTAATAATTAATATAACCAGGAGGAAAGCTAATTATCAGGTAGAGATATTAGGCTACTATGAGACATGTAATTCGCTTATTAATCATTGATATTTTCAGTTATTTTAAATGTTAAATAAATAAAACGTATAATCTTTAAAACAATAATTCAAAAGACATATATAATAATAATAAATTAATCTCGAATCAAGTATTACATATGCTCATTTATAGTGACTTCTGAAATTATCACTAAATCATAAGTATTCACTATGCCAGTTATGTAGAGATTTCTTTATATCATATTTTCATATTTTTTCTTACAATGTAAAATTTAATTCGTCTTAAAGACATTTTATAATCAATTCTTTAAAATGAGATATAGCATAAAATATGATAAAATTAATGTTTACGTAAATCACGGGACATCACGTCAAACATCTGCACATTTAAACGCTAAATATTGCTATAGTTGCACCAAGTATACTATTGCGTAATAAATAATAATGCATTACAGTATTAGTGCTCTCGAAATTATTATAAGAGCTATATATTCATACTGTAATTCGACTTGATGTAACTTCGAATAGTCACGTACGGTATACCGAGTTCAAAATTGTCCCTGGGCCAATACTTGAGCACTGGAGACTGCTGCGGCTTCTCATCTTGCACGGCGAAATACGCAAAGAGTACCGCCGCAGTGTAACTCGCAATGAAGATAAACAAATGCCACAATGCATGGAGATATGGGAAATTTAGATTCAACCAGGTATCGCAGAACAGACGATCGTTTAGCCAACAGACCACCGCTAGTATCCACATGACGCCGCATCGCAACCCTAGTCTGTACACTCTTACCGAGGTAGTCCTTCAAATTTTTTAAGACATCGTTTACAATGTTATTCTATGTGATTTTTACATCAAATATATTCTTACGTTTGCATCATATTAATCATTATTGGAGTTTCTCTTTTCAAATCCACGTAATATTCTATATTGAATATGTGTACGAAGAAATTACCTCTTCAGTTCCATGATCAAGAATCCAATCGCCGGTACACCCAGGCTCATTAATGCGAAAGCATTTATAGCCGGATATATCAAGGCCAAGCCGGTGGCGATTAAAGTGGGCAACGTTGCGCATATAGAGAAGAGCTTTCTGTCATTATGTACGACATTGGGGAAATATCTTCTGGGAAAGAACATACAGAAGCCTGCCATATACACCCACAAAATAGACAATTCATCTAATAGTTGACCTATCGCATATATGCACAAGATTAGCTAAACGCAACATAAATATCAATTTTACTAATTAAGCAAATACATACATCTCGACAAATACTTTTAAATAGCATTCTTTTTGTTGTGAGTTGTTAAGTAGTAAATTGATACTTGGAATTCTCACCTATCAAAGACAAAGTAGCATGAAAATATGCGCTAGTAAGTCCAACTATCATCAATAAAAACCAGAACACATGAATTCCTGGATTCACAAAACGTGCATAGTCTCTAAATAGGTGCATGAGCACGGGTGGAAGCAACACGAAGACCACATTGCTAAACTAGAAAATAAAAACAATAGATGATTAAACAATGAAAGATATACTACTCCTTTTCTATATTTGCATATTTATTTTTCCAATATAATTCATCATGATTTAAAAAAGTTCTGTGCGAAAAATGGTCTTGTATTTGCATAAACTATATTTAGCAGAAATATAATATCATGTTCCATTGATCTAAAATATGAAATTTAGTTCCAGATAAAACTGTTTTCAATAACAAACAAGTTCCGTTTATATTAAAGCGATAAAATTTCTAGATGAAGATAAAGGCTCATTATATATCAGAGTTATTGGAGATAAGAAATAATGAATCAAGATACACAAATTAACTATATTCTTCCTTGTCTTTGTATAGGTATAAATGTATTGTTATCTTATTACCTTTCTAGTATATATATTTGTTCTGTTTAATAATGTAATTTCATTATTTGTAATTACATAACAAGCTTTAGTCTCGGATCTAATTAACTTTGACCTATGAAATTGTCGATATACTTAGAACTTACCTCGAGCAAAAAATTACCTGTCTCGACAAAAAACTGGAAATCATTTATATACTTGAGTCAATGTAACTCTGAATATTAATTATTAAGTATTTTTATGACTAATTTAGAAAATATTATTATTAAGTATTTTTATGACTAATTTAGAAAATATTGGACATTAAGACTTTATTATCCACTTGTACTTTTATCTTGAAAAAAAGTTGTCATTCCATAATTCTCAATTGTAATTCAATCGGATTTCAATTCTCATGGTTGAATTTTTGTGTAGAAAGAATAAATTCCTATTTAGAATTTAAAAAAAATAGCTGTGTATCTTTTATCTTGCTTATAAAGTAGTATGGATTTCCTTATCACAAGCGTTATGTCTAATTTATGACACTTTTACCTATAAATTATTTGACATTTTACAAATGTAAAATTTGTCTTGTGCAAAAAAACTATCTGTCAAACTGTTTCCCTCGTGCAAAACACCCGGAAACTTATTATCATTTAAATTTATATAATTTTCAACATTAAATATCTCTTCGAGATAAATTATTCCTCAATCTCTAGAAGAAAGCTCCTTATTTTCGGGCCAATCACATAATTAAAATTCCATCGAATTGCAATTCTCGTGACTCAAAAAGTATACTGGACTTTCTCGTCCAGGTAGAATCATTTTCACTTATTATTCGAACAAAGAAAGGTCCATACACGCGCATAAACAGCGTGTAAACAAAACGCGCAATACGAACCGTGTTCATAAACTCGGCGATGCTAGGAGAGATGTTGTAGTTGCGCTCACACCAATCTACGGGCGAACTGCCATGTTCGAAGGGTTTCCACATGATTGCTATTCAGCAAATCTCCGGATAATTCAAGCTGCTTGAATTGGTAGATCGAGAGATTATCTATTAAGCTTGGTCCCTCACGTAATCATATAAGCCTGATCGGCCTGGATCGACCTCTCGCGCTCAAATAATAAACACTTCTGTACAATTCACGCGCGCAATAAATGCCGTGCGATTCCGCTTGCATAAAAAGAATAGAAATGCGTATTTTGTTCTTGGTTTACGTTACATCTCACACAAACATTCACGATTACTCACGAATGACTAACGGCATACGACGTGACGATTGATAACAATAAAATAGCTGCACGTAACTAACTACGAAGTGCGACTGTGGACAGTGCGAACTAACTAGAAGTACCAGAATCAGAATTGACTCCGCTGATCCCCGCTCGCCAGCTAAATACCCACGCCGTTCCCAGTTTTTACATCGTGGAGAAGGATAGATAAATGTGCGCTCGCGCACAACATACCACTACTACTGATTACGACCAACTTGGACCAACTTGGACGAACTGCGATCGTAAACTGCGATTGCTGCGATTAACGGCCAGGAAGAATGTATTCAGCTAGTATTTCGCTGAATTACTTTTTCTATCTTTATGAGCTTTCTTTTTATATTAATATGGTAGAAACTTTCACGGAAATCATCAGCTGAAAAAGCACCTTGGAATCCTTGAATCATACTTATTATCGATATGAATCATCTTATTTTCAAAACAAAAGATCACATTGCAATCGGAGATTGCAATTTATATGCGCAGTGAACTGTACACGCAACGCTACCGAAGGGGTGTATTCAGGAATTATGTACAGATATAATTCTAGGCTACAGTTTATGTCACGTATATTATATCAAAAGTGCATACCCAGAGTTATCTAGACGTAATTCTTGAACGCACCCAAAGATTGTGATACATAGGCTTGCGATCAAAATCTCATTACAATGCTTTGAAGCGTTTGATCAATTAAAAAAAAGAATTTTACAAATTGACCAATCAAAAATTGCTTTAAAACATTTGTAGCATTGCGTTGACCATAGTTGGATACTGCAAATAAAACTTTTCCCTGCGAGATGTTTCGAAATGCACCAAATTCGCAGAGATGATTGCAATCACGGACCAGAGATATATATTATCAAATATCAGAGAAATGACGACGTCGCGTCGAGAGGATGGAAGCTCTAAAAAAAAAAAGGAAAAGAAAAAGAATTATTGTCTAGATTCCCTCAATCGACATTAACTAAAAGTAACATAACATCAATATTGTCATTTTGCACTAAACAATATAAATGTATTCTCTAAAACTTTTAGAGTGAATTTCACTCTGTAGTATAAAATCGTATTCATAAAGATTGAAAATTAAACTCTTTGTTCCAAATTCGCTCAATTTTCACTCATTAGATTCCACTCCAAAGAATTTAGAGAATAATATAGAACAAAGAGAGTATTACATAACAGTTACATTATTGAATGCAAAATTGTAGCATTAACGTTATATATTTTTAGTTTTTGGCATCGATTGTCTTGGATTCAAAGTCATCTGCAAGCACCTCTTTAAATCTTTTTTAAAACTTCATTTAAAAAATTCACTTTTAAATGTTTCTCACAACGACGCAAGGTCCAAAAAAATTTTTGCTCTTGACCTCTCAATATCGCGATTGTTGTATTAATTAATTGTTTTTAATAATCGCTTGATAATATAAGCTACATTTATCCTTTATTTACAATAAAGTTACAACTTATACGACGAAGTGCATGATATGAAGTTGAATACAGCTGTCGCAATAAAACTAGAAACACCCCGAGTTTCACCAACATACTCGCACAAGATTCAATTCTGCTAGATTTTCTGAAATACAAGTCACATCCCGAGTCCGTCATCGCGTCCTAGTACGCGTCTTCTCCATCCGGACTGCGGCAACCGCCATGTCGACGTGCTCGTTAATGAGAGGTATCGCTTGCTCGATCAAAAGTACCTCCGCGGCCGAGATTTTCGGCAAGCCAAAATTTCGCTTGACACCTTCCGGTCCTAGCTCTACCTCGCTGGTGAAAAATCGACAGATCGGCAATACGTCCGATCGTACGTAGGCGCAGGTGATGACGTTGTTGCGCCCGGATAGACCGGCAGCGAGGTTGATTATCAACTTGGCAGCAGCTGTTCCGGACGATAACGATGGACCTTCATCGAATGCTGTCCTTGCCTCCTTGTCCTTGTCACCGGTCCGAAACGATTGCAGCACGGTCTTGCGTTGTGTCTAATATATAATAGAATTAATTATTACTTAGAGAGATGTAAATTATATAACTTAATTAACAAACAAGATTTAAGCAATGTCGTATAATTATAGTTATATAAATATCATTAATTATATTAATTAACGAAGTATAAATGACATTGAGAATCCAGAAGATATTTACAAGAGAGATGCGCATTTGATCTTTGCCCGTTCAATATCTGTGCTATAAAGATCTCGATTCTCTCTTAGTATATAAGAATTTATTTTTAATTCTTAGAGAATTAGTAGAATTTTAATTTTTTTTTCTGCAGATGAATATGTAACTATTTTATTTAGGTCGATGCAATAGTTTTTTCTATTTGTCAAATAAAACGAAGAAACAATTGTAGACGAAATTACTGTCCTCTACTTTAATATATATATTTGTTTTCTTCACTTAAAGCTTAGGGGGAACAATTTTTTATTCCCTTTAAAAGAAGAAAATAAACATTATTATAGTATAATATTTATGAAGTATTGAATCAAATTGAATTAAATAATTTTTAATAAATTTACATATATTAAATAAATTTTTTAACATTTTTTAAAAACGATAGCATTACGATAGTTCAAAAATTGACTTATAATAACAGTTTAGAGTGTTCAAATTCTTTAAAAGAACTATATATTAGAGAGATTAGAAATTAAAATTTCCTAAAGTCTATTCTATAATGTGCTCTTTGTTTCCTGTTTCTTGTTTTTTACATTTTGCTTTTAACTCTTTTGCAACCGTTTTATCGACAATTGTATTTCTTGTTATGTATTTCTTGTTTCTTTCGAAGTTCGTTAACTCTTATCTCAGGCGAAACAAAAAACCGAATAAGAAGCAAAAAGACAAGATGTAAAAAATAGCAAAAAACAAGAAACAAAAAGCACATTGTAGAACAGGCTTTACTGATTCGTACATTTGTGAATTGATTAAAGGGAACAGCACGCGACAGTAACGGCACGACAGTTTGCACGTCGGCGCCGCCAGCCAGCGGCACCGAGAGACTCGCACGCTCCAAGTTAAGGATTGCCGCCGTCATCTTTTCGATCCGTTCACCGTACGTCGCGATTGAGCCGACGATCCGGTCGGGATTCCACCCGTTGGAATACCGGAAAATCTCGGAGACCATTGCGAGCGTAGCGGTGACAGGACGCACGAACACGGCCACGAGGGCGTCCGGGCAGAAGCGCACTATCTGATCCGTCATCTGACGCACATAATTCGCCGTCAATTTGAATTGACCATCCTGGACCATCGTGTTACCTGCCGCGGTGACATCAGTCTCGTCCATGAGCGCAACTATGTTCGCCTAAACATTTTTTTCAATATGTATGATAATTATTCTGTACATGTATTTATGATGTATTGAAATTGTTATTGTTTTAACATCCACAGACTTTTTCATTACAGATTTTTTTTATGTGTTAAGGGAATCCTAAAGCGAAGCTCGAACTTCGACGAAGTCACCAGAAGTGACGCCGCACGCTGCGTATATATATATATATATAATATATATATATATATATATATTTCGCAAATCCAAAATATCACAACAAGAAAAAAAGATAAGTTAAAAAAACTTATCATTCATTATTTTCAATTCTGAGCAATAGTTTTTGTGAGATTAAAAACTGGTCAATTATAGATTACGGTTAAACGGCCACTTAACCATAATCTATAATTAACCTACAGTTTTTAATTGTTATCTCCTAAAAATTGCTCAAAATAAAAAATGGCAAAATACTTCTGTCACCTATTTTTTCAAGAAATTTTTTTTTAGGATTATTTTTTCGCTGTGATATTTTGATGCACGAATTTCGAAACACTCTGTATATATAATTAATAAAACAAAATTTTAAATTTCTTCTTAAGTTAGATATCTTGATATTTCTCTTCTTTTATCATTTTATTTCATTTCCACGGACAAAAAAATCTGTATAATGTGTATTTCTCGAAATTCTTACTTGTCTGAGAGCATGCTTTATATCCTTTTCTCGAAAGTAATTTATACGAGGGCTGGTTTCCAACTGTGACATATCTGACATATCTTCTGACGAGGAGCCCTTTGTATCCACCAGACGTATGCTTTTGATAATCTTATATTGCTTCAAAAGAATCGCGGTGTAAAGAGGCGTTACTCCCCCGCCGATGATGCATACTTGGACATTAGCCTCGTTGTCTTTTTGTACATTTTCTTTTTCTTTCCTCGTCAATTTTTTCACACTCTTCTCCTTGACTTTTGTATAGTCAGTTGAAAGGTTTTTCGAAAATTTGCGATGCAAGAAAATAAGATGACGTCTATATCGCTGTGATAAATCGAGAAATAATCTCGATAGCGCGGTCATAATTCAATGATTTTTTAACGTTTTTATGGAAAAAGGAGTACGATTTATAAGTACATTTTTCACGATTTTGTAGAATAAATCTGAAAACAAGAATATTGTCGGAAGTGATCGTGTGACTCACGATAGATTTATGCGAGACAAACAAGTGATTTGCGATACATGAAATGCATGTGAAGCTTGACATAGTACGTACAGAGGAAACAGATTGATACCCCTGCTACTTAATTAAAGCGAGTAATAAAAGTGAGAGATGCGTTTTTTTATTAATAAAAAAATACTTTATTCTTGTATGACCAAAATATATATACCTATGAACATATATCGTACTCCATGTTATAAATACAAACAATTTTTTTTTAACATTTTGTCATGTAAACATTCTTGCAACAATCTCCAGTGTAACTATTCATTTAGGTTCGTATTGCGCACAAAAGATTACAGAATGGGAACAGGAAGTAAACAGATTTCAACTTACTAGAAATCGGTTACGCTGGAATATATAATTTCTAGATTGAAATTGAATTATTCTCTATTCCGATTTCTTATTCGTTTAAATTGTACGCAGTTCTTTATAATTTCTTATATAAAAATTCTACGTTTGACACGAGCAGATCGATTGTCGATGAATAACGTAAATTTGAAAAGATAAAATACTGGGTATTATGTTATAAATACAAACATTTTAAAACACTTTCGCAATATGTAATTTCCGATAATTATCCATTTTATAAAAATTTTAGGTAATATTTTTAAGCAATTGATTCTAACAAAAAAATTGATTATCATTGACGGACGCAAGTTTGAAAAATCTGTTAAAAAACATCCTCGTGCGATTCAAGTAGACAGATAAACGTTTGTATAACATAAATATTGGTTATAATCTAATCGAATTAGTGATCCGTTTAATTTCTAATACAATCATTGTTGTCGAAATTTCGTAAATAAAAAGTTGTCAATTCATTTGTCTGTAACAAGGATTGTAAAAGTAAATATTGTCCTTATTTCTGATTAAAATATTCTTTCGGAATTACATTGCATAAGTATGTCGTAACGATTAGAGACTTTATAACAGAGTCTGGATACAAGCAATTTTGTCAAAAGCCTATGAGAAAAAGGCACATATGTGTATACTTTTTTCTTGCATATATACTATCTCACTCTAATTTATACCATCTCACTCTATAATAAAAGTTATAGAGTAAAACAGTAGAGTGAAATTCTGTTATAGAGTTTCTAGTAACGACAGTGCAACTTGCAATGCAAATTTTATTACACTCTGTCCTGTTTATCTTTTCTATCTATTTGAACATATATACACAAAAGAAAATCTTGTCACTTCAACGATGGTGATCCAGGTTGAATGATAATATCAGACATGTCTGGTACCGAACAAATCTTCAATTCTTTCTCGTTCGCCAAATGCAGCATAGATATAAAAGAGATCGGTACGCTCAATGCTTCAGCGTTGCTTTTTGTCAGCAATTTTGGCAGTGCCTTGTAAACGTCACTGAATTGCTTGCTCTCCTTCATTGTATCGGTCACATCTACTATTTCTTCAGTATTTGCCGCATTATTATTCGTGGACTTCAAACAGGTCCATATGGATTTCTTTAGTTGTCGCATATCGATTTTCTTTGCTTTCAAACAATACGCGATAGATATTTTATTAATCAACTTTGGCGCTGCAACTAGATTGTTGCCAGTAAGACCCTGACTATCCATTACAGCAACGCTATCATCAAAGTTACAATCATCGTTACCATCCTCTCTCCCATAATCATCATAATCTTCATTGTGTTCAACATTCGGACAATATTCGAGCGTGTCGTTTGGATTGTTATAGTCGTATCTCTCGCCATCGGATACGTCAGCGACATTCACCGCATTCTCATTCTCTTTCTCACTATTTTCCGACTTTATAGTTAATCTCTTGTACATATAGAGTTTGCTCCCTTGCGCAATATCGTAATGCACATCCTCCGGTAGAGTCAAATTTTCAGCGCTCCATTCCGCTTTCGCCGTTTTGGCATGTAATTTAATGTACTGACCCGACGCGAACTTTGCGTCTATGATATCGCGTGCCTCGTCATATAGCAATTTGAATTGTTTTCTCTTTTCTTTTTTCTTAGCTTGCATGCAAGCTACTTTTGCACCATCTCTGTCGACAGCGGAAGATTTCATGAAATTCCAAAACTTCCAATGGGATGGACCAGCCCAATGCAAGCTCATGTTTGGTTGAACAAAGGAGTACTCGGATGCCCGGACGTTGTGCACTTCCACAATATTCACTGGACGATCCATCGTTTGTCGAAAACATGCTTGAACATTCTCGTTGTCATCATGTTCGATGTCAAAGTAATTCATGGGTTCGGGCACCGGATCGTCATCATGCTCCACACTTGCATCCAAATCAAATTGAAATCGGTTCTCACTGTCATCAGGAGATTCGATTTCCTCTTCCGGTTCATTCTCTACGGACCAGCCGAGAAACTCAAAGTTTGAATATGACGCACAAATCTCCAAATTCGAGAAATCTTCGATCGCTGGTATGACATACTTAACGTTTGAATTATTTTGTGATTCAGATTTATTCTCCAAGACATCAACGAGCACGTCGTTATATGGATGCTGATAAAAACCGGAATTCGCGTGGTTCGGCAACGTCGCTTGGTACAACATATCGCTGGTCTGTAAATCTCCTTCGCCTATCATTGCCGACATAGGTTTTACGATCTCAATATTGCCTCTCAGAGCTTCAACAGTGCTGAAGATCTTTTGCTTCGATTTCTTCTTTTTTTTCGGCACCTCGACGTTTTCCGCATCTTCGTGCACAGTTTCTTCCTGATTTTCCGAATTTTGCTCCATATTTACTTGTTTATCCAGTCCACCAACCATTTTGAGTATTTCCATATGTACATTGTCCACACGATATCCATAGATCTTGGTACTCACGTCCAAGGAGGTGCTAGCCATTAGTAAATTCGACATATTAACATCCTGTTTCTTTATCATATACGTCATAAAGTCAATCATCTCCAAACTAAATGCATTCTTGATATTGATCTTGTTCTCAGCATTCAGTTGTATACATTTATTCATGCTCTCAGCCATTTGAGGTGCAGGAATATTTGACAAAAATCCCAGGCCCAGAGATAATCTTTTGCTACTACTATTTCCATTAGATGGTGATGTTGTAAATATTTCACGTCGACGAGCGATACGTTCTGCCTCATCGTCGTTTTCTGATAAGTTATGTGCTGATGGGATTTGAACAATGGACTTTCTTCGCAATGGTGATGAAGAATTTGATGAATTTTGTATAGATTCCAATCTCTTATGCATTACAGATTTGTGAGGATCCATTTTATAAAAAAAAATTTATAACTTTTATTTATATATATATATATATATATATATATATATACTGCTATAGTTTACACTTGTCCTTAAATATTCTCAGCCTCCTAAAACAAATAAGCATCGTTTCAATTAACAAGATAACTTTTCTATGACAAAAGAGAAGTAAATCACTTATAATATAATTCTATTGCGTATTTCATTTCCAATAGATTCTATATCACTTTTCAATTATTCTTAACGAAAATTGTAGTCACAGAAAAGTATAAAACATTATAAATTATATCACAAATTGTTTGTGTAAGCCATTAAATCTAAAGGTTTTGAGAATTATGTTATTCTTAAATAAAAATTTTCTTAAAGAATTTTAAGATAATTAATAAATTTATCTGAAATAAGTACATGGAAAAATATTATTGGATAAATTTATGAATCTGACTACTTTAATGAATTTTTTAAGACAAACTTGGGGAGGAGATTAGGAAGAACTGTAATTATAGTTATAATATAAACAATTTACTAAATAAATGATAAATGATAAATGAGTTATTTTTAAGTCTGTTAAAGATCTCCAATCAAACTAGAATCATTAAACAAATAATTTGTATTGAATGAAAAGGTTATATTCCGTTTTTAAAGTTCTCAACAAGTCACTTTGTTAGATCAATGCACAAATATTGACAAAGTAAGTGCAGTAGAATTCTTGTAAGAATCAGTATTATTCTAAAGCTTGAAAAAAATCATTTTAGTCACAACGAGATCCTCGTTTCTCAAAAGTAGTTGACAGGTTATATCAATTGAGTGTACTTAACAATAGATATTACTTGGCAGTATCTATACCAACCGATAAGGCAGCAAAGTTCTTTGTTATTTTCTCGAGATCGACCCTGATCAATCGCAACAGAACATAATAACGTTGTAATTCATCGTGAATCTTCTGCAAAACTTGCAACGTACGCTCGTCGTGAGAAGGCATTGGACTTGACAGAAATATACATGAAACACTCGAACAACATCTTACGTTGAAATGTTAAACGCTCATCTCAATTCCACATCTCATCTACCGCTCAACACTTCATCTTAACTTGCGATCTTGCGATTGGAAACTACTATCAATGGAAATTACTCCAGATAAACGAAAAAGTACGTTGCGTTTCTGTAGCGAGCGATGTCACATTTAAATTCACAGACGCTGTCATGGACGGTGATGGCGTTACCGGCGTTACCGTGCGTTCCTAAAAGCATTAAAGTATTTTTATGTGAGAGCATTAAGATGCCATTACATAAGAGCGTCAAGCCACAGTGTAATCATATCCAGTAGCGACAGTGAACTTTTTTGTGGCTGCAATTTTTAGTGCGCATGTGTCGGTTTGTACACTTAGGAATATGGCGGACATATTAAGAGCTTAACAGAAATTCAAATTTAAGAGCCTGTCCTTTCGTAGCTCTACTGTGTACACATCACAACATGGCGGTGAATCATGTGACTTAAGAACACCTACATCAAAGTTGCCGAGTGGTCTGTGTCACTACTGTGTATGATTATACTGTGATCAAACGTCGAGCGTCGAATATTGTGAGCTCACTATTCGCTAAAATCATTTGATCACGTGATCAAAATTGACGAATAGCAAAATTGACACAGTTTGACGCTACCAAGTAATGCTCATATCACTAGCAATTGGAGATTCGCATTTGCATTCCTTGCTATGTATTGCGTCATCTAAAAAGTATCCGCGGTACTTTGTCACTAGATATATGACCATCAACACACATCTAGTGACAAAAAACAGCGGATACTTTTTAAATGACCCAATATATATATATACCCATATATATTGTATATATATTTATATATATATATATACTTGGTCATATCAAACAGTTGAGTCTGCTGAACGCATCTTTGAGGCTACAAATGTTTCGAAGAATTTTTTGATTGGTCAATTAGTAAAATTCTTTCTTTCGATTTCAATCAAAAACTTTAAAGCATTTGTAACGCCAAATGGACCGCACTCTGAAATGTGATCGATCGGATCTATAATAGCGTATTCGATTAGCATCAATCTAGGTTGGATTAATGACGTTGTATGCTCTCCTATTAGTGGGATATATAACGTCAACCAATAATAAAACCAATAATAAAACATTATCCAATCTAAATGGGAGCAAATCCACTCGGGTCGAAAACGCATAAGTAACAATCAATCATGTTCATTTGCGAGCAGGTTAACTGCTTTGTCGATTTTAACGTGCCCATTAATTTGCTGCTCGCTGTTAATTGACGCTTCTAGTCTGAACGCACTCTTAAATCTGTTTTGCCTTAGTACAGCTTAGTTTCATAATTGAAAAGCTCAAGCGTAACATGTGAAAATTGCGAGGACAATCTTATCAAAAAGAAGAGAAAAGAAAAACTTTTATCACGTATTATGAATGAAAAATCCTATGATATATTGATTCTTATACTTAAGAATTAAAGGCAAAAAAATCAAATTATATTAAAGAGATATGTATTTAAATATTTAATTTATTATTTGTATTATAACATGTATAATACAATATGTTATAAAAGTACAATAAACATATAAGCATTATAAGTAGTAAATTAAAGAATTTTAGAAACTAAAGAATACCGTATATTAATTCGTATGATATATTTTTATGCGTTTAAATAAAAGGTTTATATTATTATTATGACAAATTGTATCAAATTAAAAATATTAATTTTTAATACTGAGGTACAGATGCAATTTGTTCGAGAGCTTGTTCCATTTCATTGTCTGGTTGAATAGATAAGACCTTATACAAGGTGCGCGAAAAGACAGATGTCGGTCCGAGAATATATAGACGAACGTCACATTTTTCTAACAAATATAGCCATTTTAATTCGCTGCGCTTTTCTACTGTCATTGTCTGCAATAATTATATACTTTTTAAATATAAAAAATGGAATCTATTAATCATGCCTCAACTTTTATTGCTTTTTCATAGTATCTTGTTATTTTATAAACAAAGAATGTTTCAAGAATTTGTATTTTTTGTAAGTCCACAATTTTAAAAGACAGAGAAAGCCGAAAGAGAGAGAGAGAGAGAGAGATAGAGAGAGAGAGATAGAGAGAGAGAGAGAATTGTTCATTTTTAATTTAAATGGAGAGTACCTGAAATTCATCAACTGTGTAGCCCAAGACACGCTCCGCGATGTCATCGGTTAAACGACATCCGATAAGATATCCGGTGTCGTCCTTCAAATTTATTTTTACATTAAACTTTACAGTATTTAATGGTGTTCGCATTCCATTGCCAGACGGACAAGTTAAATTCATACAAGAATCTTGCACGTCTGCGACAGACTTTTTACATAGAGCACTAAAAATGAAAGTAAAAATGACAGCACAATTAATTTTTTAATTTATATAGATAATAATATAACGTGAGAATAAAGATAAAGTACCATTTTATAGATATCACATCTTTGAGTGGACCGTCCAAATTCATTTCGGTTACCGAAGCCCTTACGATCGTTGCGAATTGCAATCTTTCACCCTCTGCAGTCGCTTTATTCTTTTGTAATTTCTCTGTGATTTGTTGTACCGTCATTATAGTCGTAATAGTCTCCGCTGTTAATACAAAAATTAATAATAATAATAAAATTTTTATTATACGCACAAAAAAAACTTTTCTTCTAAAATTTGACCTTCATAAAATATAGAATCGGAGACATATTTTTTTTACCATTATTATGTTTATATTATTTGAAACACATTTTTTAAGCAAATTATATTCTTACGATTTGGTATGGCGAACGGATCGCTGCATATGGAATCAGGATCATAATGTTGCACCGCATTCATAATATCTACAGCTTGGGGTACGTTCAGACACTCTGTGATCAACGTTCGTCTTGCTACGTGAAATAAAAACGATTTACGAATATAATAACAATTCTTTCTATTATATTGTCGTTTAGTGCGCTTATGCAACATATCGCAAAACTATCCAAAGGATTGAATTAGTAAACGTATAACTGTTTCATAAACTGTTGCTTAAGCAATCTAAAAGAGAATGGTTTTCTGAAGAATCTTTTTAAAGACACAATAATTTATTATAATGTTATATCCGAATATCGAATTCTGTAGATATATTCAGAGATTTTCTAGGTTTTTTATTAGATATACCAATGTAGTTTTTTCAGAGATTCAACAATTGATTCTTATATTATAGTTGAAATTTATTGGCGATATATTAGTTGGCGATATACTAAATATTGTAATAAATTATGCTAAATCAGATCTTCAACGTACAGATACTTAATGTCGTTTTCTTCTTGTACTCGTCGTACGCAATGCGAATATTGACCAAGAATAATATTGTCTTCTTCGGTTCCCAAAAGGCAGATCTCTCAATCCAGTCCTTATCCCACAACATCAATGACACGGTATTATCCGTCGATCCATCTGCGACTTCGAAATTTCGACACGTTAAGGATCGTCCATCTCGTGTCATTATATTACGAGCATCGGCAATCTGCGGCACGATAATTAAAAATTGTTGTTGATGTTACAATAAGCATCAAAGTGACAGTTTTGAAGAACACATACACATATATTATATAGTCACAAAAAACGATGTGATTATTATATAGGCTCGATGCGTTTTATTTATTGCAACTTACAAACGTAACGACGACCAGAAGGTCAACGAAGCAATCACACAGAGCGTCTATATTATCCAGAATGGTTTTTAGGCTTTTCGCGGAGGTCACATTTTTCACAGGTCGCATCAGCAGATCTTTGTATTGTTCGCGAGTTGGCGCGTCGTGATTCTGTATTAAGGCTGTACCCTCATTTATGATCAAGGTAAAAGGGCTGGAGGTCGACGGCATGAATTGTTCGTTCTTATCACTGGGATTGCGTTTCACGATTTTTGCGCTTATCACTTCCACTGTAAAGCAGACGACGGTCTTATTAATATATGTAACCGGCGTGAGCGCGGCGATTCTCGGACAAGAGCTTA